GAGAGAGAGAGAAGGAAGAAAGATAAGGAGATGGAAGAAGGAGATCGATCGAGGAGATGATGGGGATGGACATCGACATATTAAATAGGTGGGCAACGGCTGCGATTGCCGGTCAGTTCAATGAGTAACAAATTAACTGGAAATGTTTCCTCAAAACTCAAGATGATTGCGGTTAAGAAATTCTCTCTTCTCTTCCTCTCTCTTTTCCTCTTTCTCTTTTTCGTTTCCTTAGGAACGAGGACGGGAATTTTATCGTCCGTTTTTCCTTTTATGCAATATTCGATTGAATTAAATTGCCATTTATTCTAGTCGATACATCTGTATACAAAAAAAATCTTTATATATTTTATATCACTTTTGATTTATTCCACATGCATTCGACGAATTACGAGGTGCAAATCATGCGATTAGTAACAGATTGATTAAAGCTTTCATATCAATCCTTTTTATCTAATAGAAATAAAAAGTGTTAAAAAGTTAATAATTAATTTTCAACGTACTAAATTGTATTTATAAAATATATAATATCACGTTTATAAAAAAGGGTAAAATTAGCTTTATTATTGCGGACATTTCTCTCGTATATTTAACTACTTCTTTTGTAAAATGCGAATGACTTGATCTTTTCTCAAGAAGATTCGCCACAAAAAAAAACGGAATTTATTTTCAAAAGGATCAACAAAGGAATCATTTTAATAAAAGAGGCTCGAAGATCGCCGCAGAAGAATTCACCCCTTTACACCCGCGGCCGGCGGTACGGCACGCTGTGACGCGCGCCACTATCCCCTCCTATCTTCCGTCCCTACATCCGCTCTCCGCGTGCCTTTCCGCCCCTTCCCCGTGCCTCCTTTCGCGACGTAATGAATCCAGTTTGTCGAACTCCACCGCCTTCTCCGGCTTCGCCGCCGCTGGATTTTCCGGACCTAACCATCCTAACCCCATCCTAACCACCCACACCAACCATCCGTCCGTCCGTCCGTCCGTCCACCACTAACTGGCGCACGTAAACCACTGTGCTTTTCGGTGCCACCCCCGCGACGGCGGCCAACCCGCGCAATCATTTCGCATCTCTCCTCCTATCCCACCCTCTCCCGCCCCTCTTCTCGCCGCTCGCCTCACCCCTCTGCGACCGCGGAGCTACACCGCGCGCGCCCGATGCCCGTAATTACATCGAGTTCTCTTGACGATGGTGGAACGGGGCGAGGAGGGAGAGGGAGTGCAGAGGTTCTAATTAATCAGCTAGCCGCAACGCGCGCGAATCGTTCCCGGCAACACGCTACGGCATGCCTATAGGTTGACCGTCGACCAAAGCATGGGGCCTCGCGCGCGGGGGTGGTCTCCTCTCTAACCCCCTGTCCCCGGTCGGCTTGTCCTGCCGGCGTTGTTAACTCTTAGTTACATGCGTTCATTTGAGTAGCATAATTAGTTACGCGCTACACATTATATAATGATTGAGTGTGCATCCGCGAAACACAGAGTTAGCTTTTGATTTTATCCACGACGCAATGAGATAAAAATACGGTAAAAAAAAACTTCTCTCAACACGGTCTGAGAGAAGAAAAATAGAGTTCCCCAAAAATTGCCGATCCCAAAAAAAGCGCCGATACGAACGAAAGGGTCAAACGCGCTTGACCGCATATCAAACCTGCGATAGGCAGAACATAAAAAATTATATTTATACATTCTCATAATTTTCATGATGTCTAAATCGATACTTTCAATTAGTAATAACATTTTCTTCATAAAAAGAGGAGTGATTTGAGTATTGCCAACCCGATTTAAATTCACAGCCGGAAAACGCGCAGCGAAGGGGTTAATCGGCTCATCGCTCGCCGAGGAACGGAGAAAATCGACGTTCTTTGTTGCCGTTTTATTCCCCCGGTGGCCTTTCAGCCTCGGATCTTCATCACTCCCACGGACCATGAGAAACAGAGAGAATAAGAGAGATTTCGGGCAACATTGGTTTCAGGCAATAATTACTGGTTGGAAACCACCAAGCTGAGAATATACAGGACCGGGAGGTTTCGACTCGGCCGCAGCTGCAGTTGCGTCGTGCTAATGAATCTATTTTACCCGTTCTCCATATCAGTCCTTCTCCCTCTCTTCTACCTCCCCCTCCCCCTTTCTCTCCTTTCGTGTCTTTCTCGTTCAACCGTTGAACTGCTATATCGAGATAAAGTATCAACGCTTTATACGACGGCATTGGGGGCACAAGAGAAGAAAATAAGTAACACCCGGTGTTTTATCAACGTAAAAAATAAATATCAAATGTTAAGGTCTGTGCACAATAGGCAACAGGAATAACGGAGAATAACGCAGACAATAGATTTCAATCTATCGAAAACTGTGTCATCAATTGATACATCTATTAATTAATTAATAGCTAATAAGCTAGCACCGCCTAATTAATTAATATTGTGCATAGATCTTAACATTTGATATTTATTCTTGTTTTTAATATTTCATCCACTATGCATTGGACCTAATGCGATAATGATCGCATGAGAAGATAACACGAGAGGAGTCATTGGACATTTTCCAAGCAAAAATATCGATATTTATTGGGTGCTTTCCATTTAGTGACACAAGTCGACACAAGTATCATTTTGTCCTTGTTAATCATTGGAAGCCAAGAAAGATCCAATGGCTCTTCTCGTGTTATCTTCTCATACAATCATTATCGCATTAGGTCAGAAAGCAACCATTAAAGTATCAAAGTTCTTTGAAGAGGTCATAGTATCATATTATATATTTCATAACATGACATAATTTATAATCTTGATGTAAAGATGTAAACAAATTTGATGAATTATTACTTCTTCACGCGCACTCCTGTATACTTCAATTATATATTTTCAACCTGGTTTTAGATACTTATTCTTCGTCTTTCGAGACTAATGTTTGTGATATTTTTTACTTATTACTTGTTTAAAAAAAAAAAACTGTATATTTATTATTGTTTAAAATATTATTAATTAATCTTATTAATTAATTAATTAATGCCAGTAATAATTCCTAATAGATCAACTGCCGATCATTGTGTGAATAATTTTATTGATTATAATTTAATTTAATTACTGGCCAAATTGATTATCAACTATATCAATTCTCGGTAAACTCAACGTGTTAAAGTGTTGGTAAACATACTTCTTTATCTACGGGGCAAAAGTGGCGGGTATCTGCATCAATAATTTTGAGCGTCCTGTGTATTTATACTCGTTGTTGTCCAACTGTCATAACCGCCTCGGGCATTTTTTGGACATGGATAATGATTATTACTCCACCGTATATACATGGTGAGTAGATAAATAGTCCATGTATAATATCGTATTCGATTTTGCGATGAAGTGAAAAATTTTCGTCAAGGTTATCTATCTCCAATAATAAAAAAAACAGTGCTTGCTCTGAACATCATCAAAATTCAATGAAATTTTTTGCAATGCAATTCGCAATTCTCTCACGATTATAATTCACGAATGTCATCGTTTGTATTTAAGTCATAATGTGAATGATTCTGTATTTTTGTTTATCGTCTAACTATTGTGTTTTCTCCAGGTTTGAGAAGTGCGGGATCATATCCAACATCAGGACGCATCTGCGACAGAACTTGGTGAATGCTTTAAAGCGTAAGGATCTAAGGCTGTGTAAAAGTAGAGAAGCGAGATCTGCCAAACAGTATGTTTATGATATGTTAATAGCTGAGTATCTGTTTAGTCACAATTACTCCTTCACCTTGTCGATATTTGCTAGCGAAGTTCCGCTTTTAGTAAATTTTTGCAACAGTGTGCCACAGTCCTCTGACAGTGCTGACAGAGGCAGTAGTAGTAGACACAGTAAGTTGCAAAGTGATTATATAGCACATACACTGGAAACGCTAGGCATCGATCCCAACAGGCCTGAGGGCCAGTACATTATATCGAATTATATGAACAGTGAAGCACCGTTATTGTTATCCATTCTGAGTTCGATAGCCTCACTCATTGCCAATGCTCAGTCTCAGTCAACAACTGGAAAATCCATGTATGACAAGGAAACGCAAACTAATTTAATCTTGGAAGCAAATCTTGCAGATGTTGCAAGAATACGAGCAAAGAGAAAAAAGATTATACAACAAAAACAATTGTACGATGATGAATTAAAGGCAAAAGAAAGCAAGTTGAAGCAGCAAGCCTTTGTTATAAAGCATCAGCTCAGTTCATTGAACACAAAAGTAGAACAAGCTCAGGTAATATCTTCAATCATATATAACATAAAATATTTCATATACAACACATTTTTTTATTGAATTCTAATATAAGAATTCTGATGTTTTTTTTCATTGTTAAAGACTATTATACATCTATATTTAAGAAAAGATCACATCCTAATAAAAAATAATTTAAATATCTTATATTATTTGATTGTATCGCTAATATTATTTTTCTTCATTAATTTTAGAATTTAATGCAATCCCTGACACTGAAAGAAAAACAATTGAAGGAAAAAAAAGATAGTAATGAGCAATGTATCTTGCAGAAGGAAATGGAACTATCTATGAAACAAAATATCTTAACACAAGAAGCTAGCAGGTACTTGAGGTTATTAAAGAAAGAGAAAAACAAGTTATTTTTGTAATTATGAAATAATTAAAGTCAAATTATAATTATTACGATATAATTATGATTGTAATTTCTATTTAACTTTTTATATTTTTTATCACACGTATATTAATCTTAAAAATTGTTATCCGAAATAAATTTATTAATTTATAATTATATATTTTTTTAGATTACAAAAGGAGCGAGATAGTTATCGAAAGTTCGAAGGAGGCTTGAAGAAACTACAACGAGAGCTCATTAAAATGCAAAAAGAAATGTCACAACGTATGTCGAACAAATGCGCTCAGAACAATCTTAAGAACATACATGTACAAACTGATATAGAAGATCACATGATAATGGATGAGTGCAAAACTCTACAGAAAGAAAAGCTGGAGCTGACAAATCTTGTGGAAGAGCAACGTTCGAGGATAGAACGGATTACGCAACATAGCGCGCTGTTATCACGCCAACTAGAAGAAGTGCGTTTGTTGCAAGCAATTGAAATGCCGGTTGTTAACACAAACGCAATCATCAGTGAAAGTAGTTCTACAGATGATATTCTTCAAGATGCCAAAATGCGATTGAAGAGGCTGGAAGAGGAGAGCTCTAAAGCCGATCAGTATTTCTGCAATTTCGTCAGTACCTCTTCGTAGCGAATAAGATATTTCAAAATATTATTTATCAATATATTTATTATCGTTATTGCACATATAATTATTGATCTTGCAAATTACATTCCGTACATATCGCTCGCGAAGATTGTGATTTCTTTTACTCTTGGAGAAAGACTGAATTAAAACACATACAAAAAAATATCGGACACTTAGATAATTTATTTTATAAAATTGGATGTTAAAACATATAATATACAAATTACTGACTATTTTTTTTGCTTTATTTCGAATTCTACGTTTATTACATGCAACATCAAACATAGCATAAAAAATGTTAAGTCGAGCTCCTTTCCGTTGTTGTACATCATCTTCGTTTCGGATCTGAACTTCTTCTGGTGCACTTGAATTAAGGATTATACCGAGCACTTGTGCCTTTTCGTGCATAAGATAAATCATACAGTTATTGAGCAGTTAAGGAGTGCATCTCTTTCAAAAAAGATAACTAAAAATATAATTATAAAATAAAAATAACAATATATTTTGTGTCAAAAAATGTAAAGTATATAAATTACAGATTTCGTAAATAAAATATTCGAACGATAACAACAAATAATATAATTAAGTGTTAAATTATCGTATAATTCGTAATTAACAAAATTGTTTAGAATTAACAAACATAACTTCTACGGTCACAAATTGCGTGTTAATAGACATGTTAAAAATATCTGTTAATTAAATTGTGAAAATGCCATATAAAATATTGTGAAAATGTCATATAAAATATTACCTAACTCAATAATTGTACGATTTACTCTATATATAGTACATAAACTATTTTAACACTTAATTAGCTAATATTTAATATATCAATGTATCACACAAGTGTTATTTTATATTATTATATAAAATGAACTAATTGTAAAGAAAAAGTAAAAATAAGATTTGTACTCAGTTATTGAGTCTAATACGAGAAATATATAGAAAAGGATATTGTTTATCACGACTCTCGCGTCCTTCGCGTTCATGAGGACGATCCTTTGCATATGGAGATTTTTCCTGAAAATATATTCCTGAATAAGTCTCCCGAATGCCATGGTTTCTTGCACTGATATTGGGAAGCAGGGACGAGGGAAGGTAATCGATCTCAATTATATTTTCTCGTTTTTGCTATTGCCGCCCATTTCGTCCTTTTAATGTATGTGAAGTAGACATCTTTATCAACTATGAAATAATAGAAAATTGTTAAAAGTAACTCGACTTTCACGAAAATCAATTAGAAAACACTAAAAAATTATTGCAATTTTTATGTCAGACAAATCTTACGATACACAGTGTAATATATTTCAACGAAGCATATAAAATATGCATACGAAATCAGAAATATTTGTATTTCACAGGATGCAGAGCTGCAAATATATTTTATATATTTTTTTATATACTTGAATAATAAAACTTTTATAAATATAAATGTTTTATAAATTATTAATGTTTATGAACATATTTCTTTTTTTTATATAATGTTGACATAGATTTAATCATACCACATATTTCTTGTAACTAAAACATTTTCTTCTTTACTCTATATATCTTATGTATTTTGAAATGTTACTAAATATATTAATGTCAAAGTACAAAAAATATAATAAAAAATATGAAAAAATTGTATGAATAATAAAATTTAAGATTAAATATAAATTTGACCGGATTATTCTTAGATATTATTTTGGATTGGCAGATTGGTCTTAAATATTAAAAACGAGTTATAAAATAGTAAAAATAAAAAAGCCAGAAGAAATACCTATAGAATATAGCGAGAGCAAAGATCAATATTCACATGAAGGGTAGCAAATAGTTTTTACTACACGTTTAAAAGGGATTTAATTATCAACAAAAATATCGATTAATATTACTTACCTTACTGTATGATGTTTTTCTCTATGTTCAGGAATGTCGCCGTTCTGATGCGTATTTTTGGCTATAAAAAATATAATATTTCAATATAAATGTTCATTGAGATATATATATATATATAAATCTTATTTTTTTTAATAATAGCGAAAAAATAATGACAAACCTCTTTCGTCATCTTTTCTCCGTTTTTGTTCAGTGGTTACTATAGATTCTTCCGTCCGATCCTACATCAATAGATTTAATAAGTAATTTTACATTTAGATAAATTATTTGTTTTAAAACACATGATATATATAACAATCACGCGCGATAATTAAATCACTATATAATCATAATTACCCTTTTTCGTCCCTGTTTCTTTTCTCTACGCAGCTCTTTCTGCTCGTCACGCGTTTTTCCTTTGCTGGAACGTTCCTTCTTATCAAGAACAGCATCAGCGCGTCTCCCTTCCTGCTGAATATAAAAATACTTATACAAAGAAAAAAACATGGAAGAAGCTTAAAATATACGACGTAGAATAGCTACCTTCGGCGCGCTCTCTACTTTTCTTCTTTTTACATCTGAAACTGAATAGAAATTTATTATTAAGCAAATAGGAAATCTTTGTAGAAATATATGTATACTAATGCTAAGGACATAACTTTTTTTTAAATATTTCCACAGCTAAAAGAAAGATTTAATTTTAATTGTTTAAATTATAATACAAACCTCTCTCAGGACCTTCTTGTAAAGGACCCGTACTAGCACTACTATTTGAAACACTGGAAAGATCTCGATCTAAATTGTCTACAGCACTACTATAATAGTGCTCGTCCTAAAAGTATAAAATTTGCATTTACATGTATAATTATAGAAAAAATTTTTTAAATTTTAGATATCGATTACAAAATAAAGAATATCAGACGTTAAAAATTTATATAAATAAGATTGTAACGACGTAATTAATAAGATATATACCTTATAATATTTGCGATCCTTTTTATCTAATCCTTCATCATCTTTCACTTCTTCCTTTTTGATATATTTCTCTTTTGAGACTTCTGAAATATCCTTATTATCTTCTTTCTTTCTAAACTTCTCAGAGTTTTCGCTATTCAAAAAATTAATATCATAAAATTTTCGCACATTACTATTTATTATTAATTTCCATAAACAATTAATAGATTTAATATTTATTTACATAGGTAATGTAAAACAAATGGAAAAAAAGCAAAGTCCCAATGCAATGCAATAGCTGCATATATATTTCTAGAATTACTTACTGATGCGCTTGACTTGAAGAACTTCGCTTTTCTCGTTGATCTTTATTTTCTTTTTCCGGTCGAGTATCTCCGTTGTTATTTTCTTTCACTGTTACTCCATTGCTGACCTTTTCATTCGTTTCATTATTTGTAGCATCTTGCGTTTTCCCGGCCTGTTATGTGAATAAATATAATTAATAATTTTCTCAAATACTTTTATGTAATTTCTTTATATCACATTTTATGATAAAAGATGATTTGTTTTATTACCTTATCACCCACATGATGGAAATCTGATTCACGTATCATACTGGGAGTTTTAGCTTTCAGTTGTCCACTGTATGATGTAGCCAGAACATGCAAATCTTGACGCTGGCCACGCTCTTCTTCTCTCACTTTTTCCACCTTTCGTTCGAGAATCTGAGAGAGTTTTGCCAAGACAGGAAAGTGTGGCAATATTTTGATCAATATTATCAGAGAATTTCTTATTTGCACATAATCCTTAGAATCAAGACATACTACAATAGCCTGTTAAAGAAAATATTAATTCGAGATAATAAGAACGTTTAATGTTTAAGTAGCATTTATATATTCAGATATATATATATATATATATATATATATATATATATATACACATATACATACACATATAAATTGTACTTAGAAAACTATATGAATACCTTTGTGATTTTATAATGCCACTTGTGACACACGTGTCTGTAGTTTTCAAACCCGACCATATCATTTGCTTCAGAAAATTGATTGCTCACGCGGAATTTGGTCACAAATCCTGGATAATTACTGCATTCCTATAGCGAAAGTTATATTTTATAATATTTCATAACATATATCTAGATTATTATATAAGAATACAGAAAAGAATTAAATCCAACACTAAAGATCTTGTACTAAAAATTAATTATTCTTTTTAAAGTCATTCTTTTCGAAGAATTTGAGACATGTTAATTTGTAGTACTAATACTTACCTTATCAAATATGGCTTTCTCGGAATGCCATCTCATCACAGTTTCCAGCATGGCGCACAAGAATCTGCCATACCGATTTGCTTCGTTCTCTGTGCACGAAGTGACTGAATATGTAATATCACAGAAGAGCTGAAAAAGAACCAAATCATTTTATTATAAAAATAATTATAGAATAATAATTGTAAAAAAATATAATAAATTATAGATTTCTTTCATATAATAAAAATAACTTTAATTGATATACAAATATATATAATTTACCACTCTAATGTCATAATATATTAATGAATAGATAAAATTGTCTTACACGATCGTAGCAAAGCAGAGTTGAAAAATTTGCAGTCTTCAGGGAGTGGATAGTATGTACAAATTTTGCACAGTACATGGCGTCCACAGTTGTGAATGTACACCGCGGAAATAGGCACAACTGTAGGAATTGCGTTATCGTCTCATTTTTCGCAGATTTAGCACTTCGCGACAAAAACCATGTATCCTTTTCTTGTCTAAAGGTCAGTTACAATCGTTATAAAATCGCTATTATATAACTACAACATTATAAGAGATTACAAGATTTTACCTCAGGTACGCAAAAACTTTTTCGACATGTTCCTCTTGCTTTTTCTTTTCATCTTGCAATTTCTCAATAAGAGTGGTATATCTTTCTTGTTCCTTCTTTCCTTTACTAACATTCTAAAAATCAGCATTATTCCCAGTTTAAATCGAGAAAGTTACAAGTTTGAAACAAATTATCTCTCTGTCATGGTACTGTAATTAATATAATAATATAAAATATGTAATATTCGAATACCATATCTTTGGAATCGGCGGTTTGCGCTGCAAGTTGTTTTAATTTGCTAATTTCTCTTTGATAGCTCTCCACTGGCACATACAAATCATACATCGATAGAGACCAAAAAGTGACTAAAAATTGCGGCGATATGTCTTCCCAAACTTTTAAAGGATGCAACGGTCTGACGGACTGAGCGACAGGTGCCATAACGGTTTGCGCAGCTTCCGCGTATTTCATTTGCTTCATAGCCGTAGACATTTTCTTGTAATTTGGATCAGCTTTACGAAGAGCGTCATATTTTATCTTTAAAAGAAAATAAAAATCAATTTATGTAAGATATAAAAGTCTATGTCAGATCTGACAATAATTGTTAAGAAATTTATTCAAATATTTTCTAAATATATAAATCGAACAAGTGATTTATATAAACAATATTTTATAAAAAAAAAAATCGAACATGTGTATGATTCGCTTACATTTATGGCATGCGCGAACATTGGCCGCGCCAAGAAAAATGCGACATCCGCGTGTATGTGATTGTCCTGAAGCATAGAGTGGATAGAGGGTAATCGTTCTACATACTCATCTACCGTCATAGTCGAGCCCAGGAAAGTCCCGAATTGTACCAATGTATCTTGACATTGATCATACAATTTGCCTATTATATAAAAAAATTAAATTATCCAGAAACGATGTGTATGGAAAAAAAAATGTTTATCTTAAATTCTGCACATAATTTCATTTACCAACGAGTTTTAGATGAGATTTATCTGTTTCTCTATAAACGACGCAATGTTTCTGCTGTGCCATTAATAGACACAGAGCAACCGCAAGATCTTGCTCGGCAAGAGCTTCCTTCAAACGTTGCGAGGATTTTTTTGTATTGCGGACTTGACTAAAGTAACCGGCCTTGAGGGAAATAGTTAATCATGTTAATTTTATGTTAATTTATCTGCGTCAGTTATATTATGACTTTTCATAATATCATCATGCCACATCGTAGTTTACCTCGTTCTTCAAAAGATCTCCACCCGCCATAGCGTCCAGTTGATCAGACGTCATTTCTTCGGCTGCTTCGATACCAGCCATTTTTTGTACAATTTCTTTTAATATTAATAGATCTAGGCTGAAAATAGAATGGTACATTAAAACAGCAGTAAATCGAATTGAAAAATTTATTGTGATATCTCCTTTATTTACCAGGACATACCTCTTTTGAGCTTTAAGTTGATTTGCTACATATTGTAACAACCCTGTTAATTCGATGTTATATTTCTTAAATATCGCTCCGCAAAAGGAAGCTAGAGATTGCAACCATAAAGATATACTAGTACCATCGTGTTTAAATCTATCTCGATCGGCACCTGCTAATGCTTCTACAAGACAATATCCTAACACATCGTACGAGATGTTTGTCAAATATTTCAAGGAATCCACGACAGGTCCTATAACGCACCCAGTCAACATGTGTTATAATCATTTCTTTTTTTCTTGCAAAAGATGATTATAAACGATAAAAGGTATGCATATATTTGATACATACCTATTAGGTTATCATATAACTGAATCTGTACGAGGACGTAATCAAATAGTACACCCGGAGAAGAATGCGTAAGCTTGCCTATCGATCGACCGACCGGTTTAATTGTCTCCTTGCTTACGCGTTTCATAATCGATTTTATTTTCTTCTGAGCATCTGCTCGTTTCCGCAATAGCGCGGCGTGCTGCAACGGCGTTTCGTTCTTCCAGCGCGCATACAAACAATAGCGATTCTGATAAGGATAATATTTAAGGATGTTCCATAGTTCCTCGGCAACACAACAATTGCAATCCATGAAGGAAAGCGAGGGTAACAGCGCTACGTCCAGTATCGTCAGTACGTCATAGTAGAGACTACAGTTCTTATCCAATAATTGTTTGTTCGCATCGAGTGGACAGTGCTTGATAGCGGCGTAACATAATCTCATCACCTTGTACATTAAAATAGGATCATGATGTAGATTCGGTCCAAGTACGATCAGCATTGGCAATAAGTAATCATGAATGTCTTCCAGATCGCATAATGATGGTGGCGCGAGAGAACTCTTCAATGGAGGCACTTTACGACCCGGCAATTTTGGAGAAACAATGCAGTGTCTGAGAGAATAATTTTAAAAACTTAAGACAGTTTGTAAAGATTAGTATAAACAATTGTCAAACATTGATAATTATTATCGTTAATTTGTAGCATGTAGATTTTAATCAATAATATAAGTACATTTTACTATTATTTAAGATATAGAGATTGGCCAATAACTTACTTTCTGTATACAGGTTCGATAAGAGCCTGAATCATTTTGCACAATGCTAGAGCTATAGGACGTTGATCCGTAAGACAGTAGTCTGGCAAACGATTGAATAAATTTTGCGCCACTTCCCAAGCTCCAATTTCCAGAAGAGCTTCACATAATCCAAATTTTTGATTACTTGCATACTTGTCCTTAAAAGAGATTAGTAATATCTTACCTTTAGAAAATTAATTTGTGAATTATTGTATTTAAATAAAAATATCCTTTAATATTAATTTTTTATTAAATAAATCGGCTAAACTTAAACTTGCAACATAATGAATAATTCTTTTCAAATTCTCTTCAAATTTCTATTGTCTCATTACTTGTGTAGTATCCTTTTCCTCCACAACATCCTCCTTGTCTTTCGTTGAGATCACGCTTAATTTTCGCACATATTCCTTAGCCTGCTTCATCACCTGCTCATGATCTGATATGATAGTTTTATCGTCTGGCATTAGCCAAGGTAATATGTCATCCAATTTGATTACGCCATGTTGCAGCATAAGCGCGGTGACCTTTTGTAGTGAGAATGGCGTAGCGTTTATAGTAGAACAATATTTAAACCCTAACACTTCACAAAGTACTTCCTGATCGCTCATATATGAACGTATTAAGGGAATAAATAGAGCATCATCTTGTGGTCGATTTTCAAAAGTTTCTAATAAGATATCGAGTACCCTATTAGGATCAAGATTAAAATAACCTGTAAGGACAATAAGATGATTTCTTCTTCTGTTACTGTCGACTTATATATATATATATAAATTTTTGAAAGAATTACAGAATCCTTAATAATATTTGTACAGTCTTCCCGAAAAGAGTGATATTTTATATCACTCATTCACAATAAAAACCATTAATATTCGTACCGATAAGGGACTTAACGATTTCCAATGTCGAGGCCACATCACTGTCTGGATGTTCTTGATTTAATTCTACAATGAGCTTAGAATAACCCTCACTTTCTTCACGAAATAAATTAAATTTCCTTTGCTTATAACTGCAAGAAGGCAAACGAGCTATGAAAAACTTGTTCGCACTATAAATTTGAGTATATGGATTGGGAAATACTCACTATAATTTCGTTTTTACTTTTATAAACTTAGTTTGAAAATTTTTGTTTTTCAGTGTCCCTACATCTTGTAAAGTTTCAATTTCTAAACGTTCTTTCAATATTCTATCGGTTAAAAACTGTGGGGAACAAACAAACAATTAAAGCAATATATTAGAACTTGATCTCAAGTGATTAAAAAGATATGCTAATTTTAATTCTAAAACTTTAAAAACTGTTTTATCTTCTTAAATATTTCTCCTTCATTATATAACTTTGCAATATCTTTGAAGATAGACAAGTAAATGTATACCTTCTCAGATTCTTTGACTATATAATAAAAGTTGTTTCTTTCTTCATTATGAGCTTCTGCATCAATTAAAGTAAATATATCTACTATTGCCAATAGTATGGAAACATCAAAACTCTACAAATAAATTAAATATATTAATACAATTAATATAACATTCTATTTAGTTTTGACAATATTGTATAAAGTTTATGATAACAAAAAGAATTGTCATACCATGAGTTCACCTAATGTCTGAATTACACTGTCCTTTTTTATGTTCCCATGGATTCCATTCGATATTAATTCGTATAATCCACGTCTCCATTCTACAAGAAAACAGATAAAAATCTTTCATGATAACATATAATACCAAAGACAGCTATACAAAAAAATATGCTCTAAATACAAAATAGTATATATGCACATGGAGAAGCAGTAAAGCTTAAGATAAATATCGTGTATCCCATTAATTTCTATCGGCAAATTGCTTTGCAAATTCTATATAAAAAAAGTAAGTATAAAAATTGTCATCAATATGTAAAATTTATCACATAAGTTCCATATAACAATCTAACAAAGAGATGCGATATATATAGAAAAAACTGAACAAAAATAAGAGATCCAAATTTCATGATAGATTACATCACAAGAATTCAGATCTTTATCAATACAGAAGTACTTAGTTGACAAATAGATAGATAAAGAACTGATAATTACATTATTATCATCAAGAAATCAAGAAAATATATAAAATATTGAAATACTGAAGCGAATGTTACATGTTAGCGTATGCGCATGCTAAGGCACCGAGGATATGAAAGGGATTCATGCTCGTTCGCGATGAATGACAATGATGCGGATCGGCATGCTGGTTCAGTACGCAACCCGAGTAGATTCGCGGTGTTATTACCTGGTGTGTTGCCTTCCTTAAATTTGTGCTTGATTAGCTTGAGGCTGCAAACAGTCGTGAATTGACAAATTAAGTCTTCGGAAGAGCGAGTTTAACGGGAGTAGATAAGTGTTTTCGCGACCAGCAATGCACCGTGTCGATCGCGTCGACCAGGCGACGCGCTAACAACACCACTTACAAATCGTTTTTTCCGTGCTTATCCCAAGACTTCCACAATTCTGTATGCCATACTTTGCTGGCCATATTTAGCGCTCCGGTCCGTTTAAAAAAATGGAACTACGAGCGTGAACCGGGATTATTAAAGATCAACTCGACATCGCAGGTTAACGGAGAGAGAAAGAGAGAGAGAGAGAGAGAACGTATTTTTCCCTTGGATTCGCCACTGTGTGAAGCTAGTAGACAAAACAGCGTCCCCGAAGCCACGATGTAACGGCGCGTAGATGAGTAGACGAGTACGCGTCATGTGAAATTGGAGTGGCAGCAGCCAATCGGGAATCGCTCACGAGCAATAAAGCTTTATTTTCTACACTTGCACTTGCGGGTTGAGTACACTCAAACTTTCTATCTCATTTTTTTGTCAAGCTTCAAATATATATCTACTTTATTTTAAGTATATTGTATATTAATTTATAATCAGCTACAAAAAAAAATATAGATTTGTTGCTTGTATTTTTGCATCTAAGCGAGATGTATATAGTCTGAGCGTTAAAGAAAGCGAGAGAGAACAAAACGCGAGTACAGAAGTGGCTAAAGATATTTTTTCATGCATCGTTCAGCGCTCATTTTTAACATTAAAAGTTTTATTTAACGCTCACGATCATCATTTATGTCTAATTCCATCAACGTAGATTAATTTTAATCTCAGTTCAACTTACTCTTCTATCTTTTTCTAGTCTAAGAATTAGAAAAAGATGAAGAGCAAGTAAATCGTTTGTGGAATCGGGCATTATTCTTCTTTAATAATAATTTGAATAACAAAGAAAATGATTCTAAGAATGTTATGAGCGTTAAATGGAACATAATTAAAATAGATCAAAAGATATCATCAAAATTGACCATTCCATTTGCATCAATTTTCATCGCGTGACCTATTTTGATACTAAAAATAAGCGATGAGCGATGCATGAGAAGGTTTTAATGGTTTTTGTATATAAGCTGTGGTAATCTTTGATGCATTAGTCAATCAATTTACCACTTTTATATCACTTTCCATCACTTCCCGCGTTTTATGTGCAGAAGCCATAAAGAAAGTCGCGGATCGTGTGAACGACGCATAAAGGATATAATCGAATGGTTTTAGGAATTATAGCACGAGAAGGAAGCGTCTGGTTCTTTCCCGTGTACCGTGCTTGGATAGGAGGTAGCGATTATTTATCATAAATTGTAATCCTCAAACATCCTATCCTATGTCATTTGCGAGTATTTAGTTTTTATAAAATATTGATCAGTGAGTCTTTCTCTCGTGAATTAATATCAAAATAATTATCATACTTGATTTCTTCCGTCATTAATCGGCGTTGAACACATGACGGTTGCGTTGTCTCTCATTATGACACTTATTCGATTAATGCTGTAATGCATCAGTTTGATTGATAACTATAACTGAATTAGATGACATTAGTATTCGTCGCATCTCGAAATTGATACTCACTTTTATTCTGTTGAATTGAAGTCATTTTCGTTCTACCGCAAAATGTCTTCCATAAGATATTTGTTTAGATATGGTTATGTGTATACATAATCATATATAACATCATATGTATAAGTTTGTTTTTATGATGATACAATTTTATAATTATAGGTGAAAAATGGCTAAATCTTCTGAGAAGAAGGGAAAGAGTGCCATCAACGAGGTGGTGACTCGTGAATATACCGTGAATCTTCACAAGCGTCTCCATGGTGTTGGATTTAAAAAACGTGCTCCACGAGCCATCAAGGAGATTAGGAAGTTTGCGGAGAAACAGATGGGAACGCCCGATGTGAGGATAGACACACGTCTCAACAAACAACTATGGTCCAAGGGCATCAGGTAATCTGCAATTAAACTTGAAGAATTTTCAAGCTTGCTTATAGAGATTTCTTGATTCTAATTTATCTGAATATGTAATTTTTATATAGTAAATTTTGTATGGTAATTTATACTAAAAATATATAAATAATAAAAATAAGATTGAACAGATAAATAAAGAAATTAAAATTATACTGATTTGATTGTATTTAATTATTGCATTATTTAAGTGTTATTGTTAAACATGATAAAATAATTGCCGTTTCTTTGGTTTTTGATTAGAAACTTCAATACAAATCTTTTGTACAAATCTTTGTTTTATTTGAAGAAAAAATAAATTTTATATTTATATAAATTTTATGATAAATTTTATATTAAATTTTTTTAGAAGACTGATCTCTGATAAAACAATCATTTGAAAGTGATAATCATGAAAATAAAATAAAATTTAATAATCAATTTTATATAATATTTTTATACAATTTTATCAAAGAAAATTGATTTTATATGTAGAAAAATATAGGAATGAACAAATAAATAAATATTTTAAAGTATATATATATATATATATTATTTTCTCTTTTTTCAGAAATGTTCCATTCAGAGTTCGTGTTAGATTAAGCAGAAGGAGGAATGATGACGAAGATTCTGCAAACAAGTTGTATACTCTTGTTACGTATATACCGACTGCATCCTTCAAAGGTCTTCAAACTGAAAATGTGGATGCTAGTCAAGATTAATGTATTTCTATATAATAAAAAAATGATGAACTAAATAGATAAGGTATTCATTTCGATATACGTTTTATACTCTATATATATATCACAGACTACACACGCACATAAACCTTATAATTCCTTATTTCTATTTCTATAAACTTTCATAGGAATTATTATGAAAGATGTCTAAATTATTGGGGTCTTTTTATATCGATTCTCTCTAGTGCAGTGGGGGATTCTTTTGACTTTGAATATTTTTCTTCTTTTATGTCGATTTTAATTTTTATCAGCCAAGACGATTTTCGAATATATATCCAATCTTGAATGAGCTTCATTTTTTTTGATACGTTGGAACGATCCGTATATACGCTATCTCGGGGCCAGAGAAATTCCGCAGGCGGGTGGCCGCGTGCGCGGCGAACTTGGCGCGCATCCGACACACGTCCGCAGTGCGCGATACCGCGGGCCAGATGCCAGATCGCGCGCTTCAGGTTTTGCGCGATTCAGTTCGCGGTCAGTATGCGCTTGGTCTGGCACGGTCGCGGATCGCAGCGTGAGGTGCGAGGCGCGCCGCCCGCGATGGAGCTGCGCGAGATGAGCGGCCGCGAGTACGGCACTGCGGAGGAGACGGCGGAGCTCCTGCCGCAGCGCGACAATGCGTCCGAGTACGAGAGCTACTTCATCGAGTACGCGATGCAGAAGGAGATGATCAATCGCAACCGATGCCCCGCGAGCCGACGATTACTCAGTCAAGCCGCGCAGCTGGACTTCAATTTTTCCAATAGCAATCACTCCAAGGTTGGTCCTCGACGGCCTTCCCGAGGACGCCTGCATCTCCCTCGTTGAACGGGAGTAGAATCACCCAGAGGAGCTTCTTCTCGAGTGCAGAATTGAGAGAGAGAGAGCTGACACTTCCTCGCTAATCAGAAATTCCGATAGATGCTGACGCGTGTCTCGAGATCGGAAGATCGTCTTGGTGGAGGAGGGGGGGAGGGAGGGAAAGCGGAATCTCAAAGATATATATTTATCCCTCTCGATTTTTCTCTCGATTTACGAATCTAGGAGAGAAAATAATTTTTACATTTGTGCATCAATCTACGTGCCGTAATCATTTTTTTTTTTAATCAATTGAAGTGTTACTTTTTAAATTGTGTATCACGATGTTCCATATTACACAAGATTACATAAATGCTAAATAGTCTTTGAAGATTTTGTTTAACAAGTTATATCAATCACATATCAAAACGTGTTGCATATATATTTTACACTACGACACGACATTCACGTTAATTCACAAATTTCTTTTGCCATTATTCGTGACTTATGATTAATGAATTAATCGTAATTTATGAATATTTATTGCTATTGATATTTATTTATATTAAATTATATTGAATTAATTATTTACGATTCAGAAGTTGGATAGAAAATTGTACTTGCAAGAGTTTTTCTCGACTATCAATTTATATGTTTATTATAAATCTTATAAACTGTTTTATTGTAAATTTTTCTGTAATCCCAATTAAGATCAACTAATTTCCTATTCGTAATGTAATTACATTCATTAATCATAATTCACGAATAAAAATGAGGAAAAAGAAATTTGTGAATTAATGAATATCATTGTCGTAGTGAAAAATTATAATGTGATTATTATATATTTATTATATTTATGTTATTGAGTAGAAAATTATAATATCGATATGTCTCTTAATTATTTACCGGGATTGTTTAAATCGTAATCTTTGGAAAGTGTAAAAGAAATTTTCGGAGGCTCTCTCTAAATATTTACATCCTCATGGCATATATTCGTAAAGATTATGATGAGTAATATCTTTATTAAGATCTCGATCGATCTGAATAATTTGTTAATTTTGGGGGTTTTCCTCCGTCAGGATTCACCATGTGCCGGAATCACCATGATCCACACCTCGAGCGCAAACTGGCCGCCCTCCAGGAAGCGCGAGGAGGCAGTAGCTTTGGAAAACCTCAGGAAGAGGGTAGAGCAAAGCAAATTGTACAAGGCGGACCGAATTTCCGATTCGATCGTACCTACCCCCTCAATAAACTACGAACTGACCCCACAACAGCTAGACAATCGGCCGAAACTTCTGAAGAAGGTAGGCAATGGAAATCGCGTGTATACGCTCAGGAAGATATCGCCTCGTTCATTTGAAAAAAATTCATTTCGCGACAAGCTCGTTTAAATCTGCGATTAAATCTCTTTCCTCTCCCTTTCCTTTTTCTTTAACGCGTATTTCCTTTCCTTCCGAGAGTCACGCTTAATTGTCGGAACGGTCTAATGAGTCGACAATTTGTATTCCGAGCTGTTGGAAGCTCCAAAAGATTTTATCGAGCATATTTTCTAGAAATGTGAGAAAACGTCATATTGTTAAATCTGATCTGATTAATCTGATCATCCTTTCTAAAACAATTATATATAAAATGAGATTCGTAGCAGTGATCGTCGAGACTGCGTCTTATTATAAGTTCAGATGGGAGACGACCGAAGACGACGGACGGCTATGTACGTGCCGGATATGCGTTAAGTTCGCGGAGTGTAATTTCGTGTCGTGTCCTTGGCTTTCCCGATGTGCGACTGTTTTCGAAATGGAATACGAAATCAAAAGTGCGAAGGAGCACGCGCGCAAAGTACTTGGGTCGATACTTTAGAGTCAGGAGCGGAGCACCGTCATCTCGGCTCCTATGTATGATCCCCCATGCCAAATGCAGCTGGGAAACTGGGATTTTGATCGTTGATCTATCATTCGGTCAGGTTGACTTTCTGATTACACTTTTGACTCCGGGTTATTATCGAATCGAATTGACTTAACGACGAATTTTCCCAGCAAAAGCCTTTCTTCACTTCAGGATCTGAAGGGATGGACACGAGGCGATGCTCGAGAGGCCCGAATGTCCCATTAGATTTTAAAGCGAAAGAGGCAATTGATATCGGGACTGTGGTCACTTAAGGAATCTTGAGAAATGCAGCGACTCGAGATAATCGAAGAGTCCAGAAGGGTCTAAAAGGTCATGGCATTCGTGTTACGATATCGTGATATTTCAAATGATCTGATAATTTCAAGAGTTGCACGATAGGTTGAAGGTTCAAAGATGTAAACGGGTGGGTTTCAAGGGTTTTTCGGCGAGTTCGGGAATTCGTGGGAATTGGAAAGAATCCGCGGGATCCGCGGTTTTAGAAATCTCGAGATTCTGATATTTAATGACCCAGAGAAGTCAGAAGTGGCCGAGTGGCCGAGCGTGAAAAGCGAAACGCAAGGACGAACATTTGCGTTACGACGTCGCGTGCAACGTAGATCGTAGATCGTAGACGGAATTATATATCGCGTAGCCCTATATCACGTATCACGATCACGATTTATATTCTTTCTTGCAGATACTCAGCAACCGACCGATGAGTATCATGTATGATAGCAACGACTTAGTGACCGACTGGCGCGACAGCGAATTCATCACCGAGTGCCTTTGCTGGCACAACGTCTATCGGCAACGGCACAACGCACCCCCGTTGACCATGTCACCCCAGGTAGTAACTGCCAGGAGCACGATAAAGATAAAGGGCACGAAAACGTCCAAGAGCCGTGCCGCAAATTTAAATGAAATGAAAAGAACGGTTTTGTTGAAGTATCTAAAAATAGACATTTGGCCAAATACACATCTGGAAATAATTTTTTTTTTCAGGACCAAAATTCAAAATTATTACACAGGATGTTTAAACATGATGATGATATTGAAAAAAATTTTTCAAACAATGGGATAAATAAGTGGCGTCGCTCGACAAACAGGATCTTAGGTGCTTATAATTTTCTATTTTTTCTTAATTGAATTTATATCTATAAATTCGGAACAATTGCTTAGTATCGCAAATTATACGTGCTACTTACTTAATAGACTTTCAACAACGCAACAGCTCAAAGCTGTATTCTTAAATCGATAATCCATCCTAAAAATCGATTATATATACCTCCCTTCCCCTCTCCCACGAAATTCTTATTGCGAAAAATTACATTATTACAGTCAGAAATCAAATCGTCTGGATCTCGCTTCCTGAGCGATTATTTTATTCTTCGAAAAAAAGTTTTGATATTCTAGCAACTAATTTAAACATTCTACTATAAGAAAATAAAGATTGTAAAAGGTCAATTAGGTATTAATAGAAGTTTGGGAATATATAAATAATTACATCGGAGCCGACATGGTCATGCAGACTAAGTGTCATGTTAGTGTCGTTTAGAAAACGAAAGATTCCGGGTTCTATAATTGTCAGAAGTAAGATTCAATCTCCCCTATTACCTCGTCGGAAGGAATTTAGCCAATACATCGAAGTAGTGGTATAATTGGTAATGTGGGGATTTACCTAATACATCAAAGTGGAAAGGTGTAATTAAAAATCTCTTGATCGTTCTGTGTGAATGAAGTATGGAGTTATGTGGCTCTATATTTTAGGTGTTAGAAAATAAAGACTGTAGAAAGTTAATTACATATTACATATATCTTCAGGAATATACGTACGTAATTAACTCTTTACAGTTTTTATTTTCTTACGTTATATTAATTATTTTGGTGGTCCAATAAAATTTATTTTTAGATCTATATCTGGCCAAATTTTTAGATATCTCTCCGCAAAATTTGTTCTTTTCGTGTATTTACATGCTATTCTTCGACATTACAGTTGTGCGAGTACGCTCAATCTTGGGCGAATCACCTGGCGCACACGAACACGTTCTATTATCGGAATGATCGGAACGTAGGTCACAACCTTTATTGTCGACCCGGCGGCGCGGTACCCGGCGACATCACGGGACAGGAGGTCGCGGCCTACTGGTACTCCGCCGTGAAACAGTACGACTTCCTCAAGGAACCAGATATTCTTCACGCCAACGTAAATGCGGGTAAAGAAAAAAGAAAACAGTCTTTAATGGAATTGTGCATTTTTCTATCAACTGAGAATTTTCTCTATTAAGAATTAGAAAATAATAAAGATTAAATTACCTCGAGATTAAAATTAATATACATTGTTAGAAATGAACATTAGAATTAAAAATAGATAAAGAATAAGTTGACTCGAGATTGAAATTAATTTATAGTGATAGAAATAGATATAAAAAAAAAAAGATTTAGAAAAAGATAAAAATTAAAATAAACTGAAATTAAAGTTAATCTATACTGATAGAAATAGAATTTATATAGTATATATAATAAAGATCACAGTCTTAAACATTATATTATTTAACTCTAACTTATTTTATGAGTATTAACACATATTTGAGTGCTAAATCTAATTCGCCTTATTTCCCTGTCCATGTATGTACATCTATTTAAATTTGTGTAATAAAAAACAAAAATATTAATAAATACCTATAAATATGTTTATTAGCTGTATAATTACAAATATTATTATCTACGAGTTTCATTTATTTTGAAACTATATTGAATTAAATAATGCCTGTCACTAGTGATTAACGTGGTATTCACCGTGTTAATTTTATGTGCATAGGTAATCTTGAATTGTAATACATCTAATTAAATTATTTGAATCATTAAGAATGATTAACACAAAAAGATATCATTCTAGGTCACTTCACCCAACTGATATGGGCAAGAAGCCGTTACTTCGGGGTCGGCAAGGCGTGCAGCAGAAGCGGCAAGGTGATCGTGGTGGCAAACTACGAGCCGGTGGGCAACGTGTCCGGTCAGTTTCAAAACAATGTATTTCCGCCGTTGCCCGAGAATATGAACGTAATGTTGTCACCGCCCACCGTGCGGGTGCCACGGGCGCAATACGAGCTGCTGAGATCGACGACACCGTCGTTGCCACCACCGTCGTTACCGCCTCCGTTGTCGGACACCGCGTCCACCGCCAGTGACACAATGTCCGTCAGCTCCGGCCAATAATATCACGGCCGTGCGAAATGCCTTCTCTGTATCTGCGCGCGATGGGCCGGACGTTGAAGAAAAAAAGGATAAAGAAAGGCCGACCCTTCACGCGCCGCAAATCAAAGACTTCGGACATGCGAAACGCGATGACCGATATTTCTGTTGATAAAAGCGGAACTTTCAGAAGTCTTTTATTAATCCGTTAACGCGCATCTTTTAAAAAATTTCGGAAAAGTTTCTTAAAAATAACTCAATGAAATATGATTAGATGTCAGCGCGCTAGCTGAATTGCTCATAAATTCATTAAGCGATCGATTAATTATTGGAAAGGTATTTTTATCTTATTGTTTAATGCAAGTTTATCTCAATTCGATCGTAAATTTTCCATAGAAATATCGGTCACCAAGTTTTACTGCCAGATTTCAGCTACCGCTTGCAAAAGCAGTGATAATCAAAGATGTACCGAGCTTCATCATGATAGCTGGTAATTTGTAATACAATTAGATCAATCGAGCACAATCTGCGATGTAATTATTGACAGTGGTGTAACTTTTCGTTCACTTTTCATTTATGAGTCTGACATGATAAAAAAGTAATCCGCCAGACAGAAAGGCAGGACATTTAGAACAAGAAAAATAAGTAAAATAAGAAAGGAAGAAATTGAAGAAATACTTCAAGAGTGCGATCATACAATCAAAATTTTGTTAAAATTTTAAAAAAAGACTAATTAATATGAGAGTAGTGTAAATATTTCGTTTTTTCTTGACTTTTTCTTTTAATTTCTTCTTTTTTGTGCGCATGAAAATTATTTTTTAAAGAGTTACGTCACTGTCTTTAATAAACTATAATAGAAGCTCAAATTTAGAGTAGCTGTACTTATTTCCAATTCAGGAAAGAAAGTTCGAAGCAATCGAAAGACAGTTTGTAACTTATTTTCAAATTTTATAAGTTTATTTGCTGATTATTCGTTGCATATCACGTGCAAAGTGAAAGCTAGGGTTGTTCAGAACATCCACAGAAGCTCTATCCATTTTGTACGTCGGTTTAAAAATGGCACTCGTTCAAGGGCAACTCTCAGTTGTAATTATATAAGATAAATTTGAAAAGCCTAAAGTGATGAATTGCGCCTAGCAAGAAGATGATACTTTGCACGCACTTTTCCGTCCTATTATACTAAAAATTAATGGTTTACGGAACGAGGTTTGAATTTCCTAGCATTTTTAGCGTTAACGAATGTTCCTATCAGGTAGCTAGGATTAGTATTCCCCAGAGATTAATCTGGAAGAATCTGGAAAACTTGTGAAAAATATTACAATCAGAACGTATTAAGCTGCTCAGAAGTGTTCTTGTTAATCCGAAAACAGCCGGATGAGATCTACGAGACTTAATTCCAAGAATTTTTAAAAAAGAGACAGTCGAAAAGGAAAATTTGTGCGATTTTATATGATAAATTCTAAAGTTAGAATGAGAAACGAGAAAAGTTATTTAGCTCCGTGTATATTCGCATTTTGAGTTTAAAGCTAAATACAGAATAAGTTGGTTAATTGTTAAATAAGAATTGTTAAATAATTGAATAACAATTAAGCAACTGATATTAAATAACTGAATTAGCTTAATTGTTCTAGGGCAAATTGAACATAACGAAGTCTTTAATTATCGATTACATAAATAATATAAGAGAGGCATTCGTTTGAAAGTGACAATTACCACGAATCTTTCACTATCAACATAGAACAGACGCAAATACATACATGCTACATCTAAAGTCTGCCAGACTATTTGATAATCATTATCGTATAGAAAAACAACTAGTTGAGCATAATTACATCAAAGCTTTATATTTCGCTACCTTGTCATCGATAATTTAAAAAATGATGAAAATCTTTCACGCCTCTATTATTCCCCAATATAACAGAAAAAAAGAAACGAATGAAATAAATCAATCAGATTGGGGAAAAATCCTTAGATCAACGTAGTAATTGCTTCGAATGTTGTTACAGCGATTTTAGCACGCCAAATAAAAATACCTGATCTCCATGTATGATGAGATTGTTAACAAAATAATATTGACTATTCGAGGGAGAGCTCTCAGGTACGCAAATTATTGCGTGATGATTCTAGTTTAATAGCGATTCTAAGCAAATTTACAGCGATTTTTGTAATTCGATCCTGTTGACTCTTAATTTGCTAGAATATATTAAAAATAGATTGTTACAAAGCAGAAATTATTTTTCGGATAGATTGTTGCAGATAGAAGATAAAAGAGTACTTTTTCGCTCATAGTCGACTGATTAGTACCTCGCTTTCTCAAACGTGAGAAATAGAATGTAATTAAAGTGTAAATTAAATCAAGAAAACATGTTTTATCTTTTTACATTAGATTCTCACTTCTGTAGAATCTTATATAATATTATACAAAACGATAAAAATATTCATTGATCGATCACATGTGGAATTACTGTTGAGAAACGATTTACTTAATCAACATTATTCAATTAGTTTAATCGCATTTTATGTAATTTAATGTGAAATTATTGCTCGCGCAAGCTCATGGTGTATAAAATAACGTACGTTCCACAGTATCGATATTTGACATAGCGCACAGGGTTAAATAACAACAATGCTCGATGTGATAAGTAATTAAGTGGCTTTCATTAATCTAAGAATGTTAAATCAAATTGTGGCTATCAAGAGGATCGACGAGGTTCAAAAATGTTGTTTCGCTTTCGAATTTTTCTTTTCGTATACAGCGCATGCGAGCTGTTAAAATGCAATTTGCAAGTATTTTGAAGTGTACGCTCACCTGTTGAGACAATCGATACGGAGACGTCGTTTCATTACGTAATTAAAGACTCTAATAATGATAATTTAAGATCGTAGATTTATGCACAGGACGATCAGCAGACAGTATAATTTTAATGATAGATTCTTTAATGAATTCGAAACCATTTTTTTCTTTTCAACGAGGTTTTGTTGAAAAGAAATTACTCCCTTCTTGATTTGCATGACTTTGATAATTACATCTCGATTATAATATTCTTGTTAACAAATAATCCATTTGAAATTAATTCGATCTATTATTAAAATTTATATATAACAGAATAAAAATGTAGAATATTTTTGTATAGTTATAAATATATATTAATTCACAATAATTAATCACGCTTAATTATCAATGTATTCTAGTAAATTCTAGTAAATTCAATCAGAATATGTAAATTATAGGAAATGTATATGAAAAAAATCTTACAAATTATTTATTTTATTATAAATCTATTTTTTAAATATATATCGATTTTACTATTATCGATGGTAATCTATCGTGTCGGATCTACCAGAAGCTCACGTAGTTTATTATTATATATAGCTTTGGTAATGTTAACTCTATTAAAGATTCAATTTGTTACCGATCCCTATTAATCGCTTTTTGTAGTAAAATCGCTTATGTATAAAAGCATCAAAAGTTAAAAGTGGAACGACGTTAATGTACTCGTTGTTAAAGTACAGGGCATAGCCTTAAATAAATTAATGAATTAAATGCATTGCAAATCCAACGTATTTTATAACGATGAATGTTAATAAAATTATCTCTTTGCAAAAAAAAAAACATTTTTCATAAATTTATACCCCATCTTTCGAATATTCTCTATGAAAACGTAATATTATTGCAATATTTCTAAAAGTGCGTAATGTTATATTAGAACTAAACTACCATTAAACTTTATATAAGAGACGTTTTAGTAATATTTCAGCATTTTTTTCTATCGATAAATATAAATCAATAAAAGACATAAAATACGCTAAACACAAGAGAGGAAGGAGACATCAAATGTTGAATACAGTTGACATATATTTTCCGTCACATACCGTATTTCGCTAATAACATTACATGATACAATAATTAAAAAATATACTGTGTACTTTGCGAAATTACAATCGGGGGTACTATAAGTAAAATATAGTAATATTAAAAAAAATAACATCCCCGTGACGCGCGGTGTAGAGTCACTATTTCGGCGATTAATCAACCGGCCGATATCGTTTCTTTCTCTCTCTCTCTCTCTCTCTCTCGTCGCTTTTCTCTTTTTTTTTCTCTACGAGATTATGAAAACAGTTTTACAAAATATAGTGCAAATATATATACGCTCGCTATACACAACAATAAGGGAGTCCTCGATTATCGTTTATCTCTCTCTTACTCTTCTCTCTACGTTTTCTCCTCTTCTCTCGTCTATTAATATATGTATATTTGAGTAGCATCGAGTTTAGGCTTCACCTCGACGCAGATACGTTTCAATGATCCTCTCTGCAGAATTAATCGCTATTAATAAGGCCGATTCGATCTCGACCGGTTCGATATGGCTGATTAAAACTAAAAATGTTACAACTACAGACGATGGAACCTCGCTCGCGCGACAATTGTACAATCAGCGTACGGCTTGAAAGCGGAAATTCGTTGTGACCCACGAGCAAAATTCGTCGTGTGACAGCATGTGATAAGCTGCTCAGTATTATCACTATCGTTCCCAAATGAAGGAAATGGTAAAGGCCCGAATATTCGGATTTTGATAGAGGCACATGAACGAAGATATTTAGAAAAAAAAGGACAATAAAAAACAAGAAAGAATATTTCTGAAGACTAAAATTTCCTGGAGATTAAACGCAAATTTTTTTTAAACTATAGCTAAATGTTTTATTTACACGAAAAGTTTAATGTTAAAACACTGGTTCTTGAAGAAAAAAAAATTATTAATCGTTCATGTAGATATTCCGTATCGCAATGTGACTTCATTTCTCGAGTACAGTTGAACAGACAAATTTAAACATGAGAATTTATACATATGAGAAAAACGTGAATGATTTCCCTTGGAAGCGAAGATATTAGTATTGATCTGTATTAATATTGCATTGTTAGTTACGAAATGTTAGTATTCTGTGCATACTGTACATTCTCATTCTCTCATTTCTCATTCTCTCTCTCTCTCTCTTCCTCTCTCTCTCTCTCTCTCTCTCTCTCTCTCTCTCT